GGAGAGAGAGACATTCCCCAGGAGTGCAGACTGCAAGCATACTCCAATCAGGATCTCATGTGATCTTCCATCAACGACCGCTTTTCCATTCCTTAAAGATCCCGCGATTCAGTTCCAGGAGAAGGGAATTCGCTTCTGGTTGGAGGCAATAAACGCCAAGATCTAGAGGAAACTATAGTAGAAGACGGGTTCCAGAAACCAGGCCGAAATTTTGAATAGTGCAGGCTTAGGAAACAAACTAACTCACTAGTAACTTCTAGGCTGCTCAACATTAATTAAAATAGTCAAACATATACAATCTAAGGTCAAGAATTCTTATCACTCCTCGAGCTCCAGCCCACCCTTACATTTCAAAGAACAGCATGCTGAGTTCTTTCATCCATTTTCTTCCTATGGTTCCTCGATTTGGAGCCGCTGGTTAGGGTGACTTTATTGAACGACATCTTGTATGCTAGGAGAACACAACCAAAATCGAAAACAGTAAATGATTGGACAATATGGCTACTTGTAGCTAATAAAACAATAAGGAAATAGCAGAATAATAAAATGGAAAGGATAAATCGAGTGTTCTTAACATGCGACGAGCAAGAACAAAATGAACAGGTCTTGGAACATCATGGAGATGAACACGTCAGAGCATCAACTTAGTGCACGAGGCTAAGAGAAGAACCAAACAGACATTCTTTGTGAACCCCACTCAACACAGAAAAAGCACAAAACAAAAGGCAATAACTAGTCTAGCAGTTCAGCTAGGGAGTGCAAATATGCTCTCTTACTCTTCCTGAGATCAGTTACATGCCACGTCCTGCAAGGTTGCCGGCGATGCACAAGGAGGATCACCTAGACCCCAGGATGATTCGGACCCCAAGAAAGATAGAAATCCCACAGCACTGCGTTTAACCACAGTCTCCATCAGTTCGGGCTACTCTGCGTCTACACTATGCCAGCTGGCGGTGGGAAATACGCGATAAGTGCCCGGCCACACTGACCTGATAGGTGTGATGCTGACTGATCATTGAGTACTGGCTTGAGTGTCACTTTATTGCCAGAACGCTGCATTCAGCTTACTCAGGCTACGCCAAAATGTCAGTGGCAAACAAATGTGTGGATTTCAGGTCGCTGCCGCTGCACATTTGGAACACAAATACTGCAGAGATAAGGAAAACAGATCCTACAAAATATCAACAGTATGAAATTCGATGTAGCCAAATACAAGTTTGTAATCTGGTCCCGAGTACCATAAAGTTTGACGGCAATTTCTGGTTGGTCACTCATCGTACTGACCACATTTACTAATGATTAACACAGTACTCATATACGACGAAACCGGCGCCAACCTAAACTTGGAAATGAGTAATCATTACAAAGAGGCTGTCTTATAACAATTAGATTGAAAGCGGTAATAGGAAGAACTGACGTTAAAATATACCACTATTATGGGCGACCCATATAATTTATTGTGAAACAAAAATCGAGAACCTTGTTGTAAATCAGAAGTACGTGAATTTCAATAGAAAAAGTGACGGAAGGGAGCTGAATAGTCTGCTCAAAGGGAATCTCTGGTGACGCTTTTTTGCATCACTTTCGTTACTGCGGACCATCTTCACGATATCTGAAAAGATTGACGAGAAGTGAACCCTACAGCAAGGTCAACATAAAGCCATCTGTTTGAATTAATCGAAACTTGGTCACAGAACCAAGCCATGGATTGACCACGCAACATCGCCAGACTACGGGGAACCGGAAATTTCAGGGGCATGTTGAGTGTTTGCCGAATGGTTCGGTTTTGTGGATTTCGCCTCAGCTACACGAATTCATTGCGTTACCAGTTCATGGGGAGGAGCCAAACTATTAAGAATAAAGTTTCTACAAGGACAACGCAGTGTCCCACATGAGGGAGTTGTCTACCTATTGGGTCCTTGTTTGATTAGTTTGATTTTCTTCTTGACGGGCCTACGGGGAATTCAAGAAGTTCCCCTAAGTGAAGTGATCCTTCAGTGTGAATCCTTCTTGAGGGTGTGATGGACCACAGCGATGACACTACAACCATATTCCTTTTTAACGTGCACTAGATGATCTCCGCCAAAGAGCCAATAATAATAGGTTAGTAATAGGTTTACGGAAAATACACTCAGTGCGACAAAATGGTGTGAAGGGGTTAGCAAAGGTTCTTTGCGTAATAGGTGTATGACGGTTTAGTCTTGGTACTAAACACCGGCAGCGCTTATGGTACGTAACAATGTAGCTTACTCTGATCTACTGTCAACAGAAGATAAGGAATTATTGAAGCTTTTGATTGACAGGGTTCTCCCCTCACTGGATTAGCAAACAACCTGGTGACCTTTTGAAACAAACTAAGATTCATTCAACTTCTGTCACGTCTCCACAAAGCTTTCCAACTTTGGTCGCATCTACACTCTTTGCGTTAGGCATTGATATATTGAGAACACTTAAAGCAGGGAATCCTATTGGACCGATATCAATGAGGACTCAGCTACGACCTCATAAGTGGCAAACCCATGAATAAACTGACGTTGAACTGTCCTTGCAAATATATTCCCGAACTTACAGTCGCTGTCATAATCATAGTAAGTCATAGGAAGCAGTCATAGAGGCTCAACGCTCCCCAAAATCCATCCTATTGGCGCTTTCTAAGTTCGTATTGGAGGTATATTTGACCTCCCACTGGCCCTCAGCTTCGCAAAATTGTTGCGAAAACCCGATCATTACAAAACCCGCCCGATAAAATCGACGTTTTTCTTCAGCAATCGGAGTTTAAAGATTACTGTATCGTCCACATTATCATGTTACAAATTTCCCATTGTTTTCATTCTACTCAGGTACAAAGTCTTGAGAAGAAACTGGCAAATGCCAATAGTCAACTGCAGTCGCACGTGGAGGCCGCACGGAGTACAAAACTGGCAACGTTCTCTTGTTATGAAGATAAAAAAGATTCAGTAGATTGTTGAATTCCAACCAGAATACTGGTTCGCATTGCATGGTTTTGCACGATATTTCTCACCACTGTTTCCGATTTCTCTTAGGAACTGCGGTTGGTTTGTACTGTTGTAAATTTCTGAAGCTGTATCTTGTACTTTTATCTCACATCCTTATATTTATACCTATACTTTAATCTTATCGAATAAATTCCCGTGAAGCACATCGAACAACGTGCATTAAAACTTATCCTTGGGTTATTGAATATGTTAGGCATGAGTTAAATCATTATTTCAATAACTGGAAAGAAGTAAAGTAAACTCGGCGACTCATGAGTCACCACTTCGAAAAACGTTTGCCACAAAGAACTCACAAAAAGTGTTCACGGGAGATCTATCGAAATCTCAGCTGAGTCCCCCTTTCGTAAAATTCTTTAGCTGACTACAGTTTAAATGATATTCAAGAATTCGGAGCACACTGCTTGGTACAATTTTATCAAAGGGTTGGAAAAAACTCACCGACAACCTTCTTCTTCTGTGTCTGTCTTGAGACTCATCAGGAGGCAGCGTTTTCACGAGTTGCATTTCTTACTTGGACATCAAACTGGACGTAAGTGCAATGCTCCATTCTTGTAGAAATAGAGGTAATTCTGACGGAAGACACAGTAATCTCAAATGATTCCATCGTTTATTATATCGTTCCGTTGAAAATGCCGCACCAGTTGTGCCCCCTGTTTTACCTGGGAAGACATTGGCTACCTCAAATTCCAAGTTAAAACATTGCTCAAATTAATTGAAATGTGCTATCAAAGTGAGCACTAGGACTGATGGACACGGAGGCTTTACATCTATTCAGCTAGCAACCCTGTACAGCTGAGGGATCGACACCACCGTCACAATTTACGTAGGCTGGGGTGAATGGACTTCTGTTGCCCCGGGGAGATTCAAACTCACAACCTTCTAATTATGGGTTGAATGCCAAACCTTCCACCCAAGGGCAGCTGATGAGCTGTTTGATTAACTCACACTTAGACGGAATATAGCTCCTGAAACTGACAAAACATTTGTTTACTGTCGGGAATCTCCTTAAAATGTGCTTTTAGCCTCATTTGGGTCGAGCAAAATGCTTTCGAAGTTTTGTTCGCTTCTGAATTTATTTTGTGCTCAACTGCAGTGAAAGTGGCGTTATGAAACCGTGCTTACTTTGTGGTTATTAGGCAAACGATTATATCCGCAACCACATAGCGCGGGTCTCTAGAGACACATAATGAGCTTCATCCCACAAACGTCGTTTACTCAAACTAAAATCCCTCATCCTGTAAAGTTTTCAAAATCCTACCTGTTTATATAGAATGGCTGTGCTCCGAGTGGTAACTCAGTAGATAGGCATGCAGTGCGTGCAACTCCTAAATTATAGACAGCGGGTCAAGTGTAGTTTGATTTGACTGCATGCAATCAGGTTGCCCAGCTCAGCGAACAAGCCAACTACCAATCGATAACTTAATTGCAGAACACCTAGGCAACAAACTGACCAAATGACAAAAATGACAACCGTTCAACCGACAGATCAAAGGATTCATGGAATAAGTCGGAGAGGTCAGACTCGGTGTCCGCCAGCCATTCAACTGACCAATCAGAAGCAGAAGTCAACCATTCCCCAGCGTCAACGAGACATACATAGGCCTATGCACAGTCTAGGCACTGATCACCGCCTAACAATAGACGCACTAATGAGTTCACACCGGTTGGTGACAAGGGGTTCGCAACCTAATTTCACAGCTTAGCGAACAGAACAATAACCAAGGTCAATTATGTCAGATGGTCAAGATGTTCATCATCAGACATCGGCGGCTTTGCACCGTCCATGCAAACAAATACACTCATTTGCACACCAGTTTGTCTTTTTTGGGGGGAAACTCACCTGAATGCTAGCTGAATCTCTGGTTTATGTTAGGTTGTGCCAATTTGTCAGTACATCAGGGCTTCACTTGCAACCGGATGGATTCCACTGTATGAGAGATTAAACCGCGGGAATAATCTGCTACTGGTTTTGTGGTCTTGTTGAAGTTAAAGTCTGTCCACACGTTAACAACCAATAGCCATCTAGGTTTAGTTTATGGTATCCTGACTGATCTGCCGTATACGTGAATTTCAAAATAATCTCGGTTACCACGGTGATTCGCTAACAAAGAATATGATTGGTTCAGACTGTTGGAAATTTAACAACTTACGGAATAGTTGACTATCCAGTCTACCAAACTTTCATCATGAAGCTTCTCCCAACAACGCCAGCTCCGCAATTCAAGGGTGAGGCTGTAATCGATGGGGAATTTCGGGAGATTACTCTGAAAGATTATGAAGGACAATACGTAATCCTTTTCTTTTATCCAGCAGACTTGTGAGTTTTCGATTTTGAAGAACTTAGCAGTTTGTCTGACATTCTGAAAACATATAGACTACTTTGTCTTTCTATAGTCGATCATCTGTGTTGATTCACTGTAACTATGCAATGATTCGCGGCCCTTCGGGCAAGTTTTATTTTGGTCCTAGCACTACAAATCAAAGCAGAATGAGTAGAGCTGCTATGATAAGAAGGGCCAAAATGTCCTGTATCTGAAACAGAAGTCCACCCATTTTTCTTGATTTTAGCAGATCCTATCCACTCAGAACAAGTGTCCCCTGAGTTTATGAGCTATTTCTTTCCTTTTCATAAAAAAATTGAGGTGCATTTTGAGCGCGCACGAAACATTTTAGCAGGTCTATACTAAGTAAAGAATGATTGATTTATTTTGTACGATATCCTTGGTTGTAGGTTTTCACAATTTTTAATCGAATTTGACAGAATCCCACAATTCGCCACCTATATATACGCTTATCTCCAATACATCCACGGGGCCTGTTCCAACAGTGCATAGACCTTAGCAATAAATCTTACAAGTTTTTAGGCTATGTGGATTGATATTCCATAAAATAGTGAGACTAGTGAATCAGCATACTGAAATAATAGTCCTCCGGCCCTTTATGGGTATGGGTGACCTAATGAGCAATGGAGTCCTACCGTGTACGACCAAGATGACTCCTCTGTTGCAGAAACGACACCCAGGCCTTTGAAACATTCTCTGCTGTAAATCTGACCTTGTCTGTTGTTTACCAACTTCCCACTGTCTTTTTACTGCTCACGAAAGCTATCTGAACAATCTGCATGTGATCTCTTACTGTCCATATGTTCTGGTGAACCAAGGGATCTCCTCATCTTCGCCTGTTCCAGAAATGCCCGATTTCGGAGCATTTGTTAAACACGCCTGATAATCAACCCTAAATCCATAGATGTACGTTATCTGAGTAATTGAGTGTCTCTTCATTTTCCATACCACTTTACTGGACAGACTTTAACCTCTCGATTCCTTAGAGTCATAAATTTATCCATCGTGTTCAGTCAAGCACCTGCTACTTATTTCTGTCCCGGTAGTTATCTATTCTCCATTCACCACGAACAATAACAACTAGCATTCCACCCTCCAACTGGCTCGACCGAATAGCTCCTTTGCTCATATCCAGGGAGAGTCATTGGTTAGCGTAGTTTATGCTCAAAGACAACAGTCGCGTCACTGAAGCATCACTCACCGAATCCTTGAGCGTTCGCATGTTAAGTGGAACTCCGGGTCAGTAGTAGATTAGATCGAGAAAGTGGCCATGAAAGCATTTCGCGCATCCTCAGAGCACATGTTTTCGGGAAATAACTTACTGAAATATGGGCACAAACTCGACGATCAGCTGCCTTAGTTGGAACTTACAACATTCCACACAACAACGTAACCTTTCAGATTCATTATATTCCCTATGTGGACATTCCTGATTTCCATTAGCTCCGGTGTTCTCCAAGGAATTATTCTGCCCTCTAGTGATTTCTGTGCATACAGGACATCTTAGCTCACCTCTGTTCTTTATTAGTTGACATTATATCGGTGATATGGTTATCGACTATTCATATTTTAGTTCTTAAGCTACTTGCTTACTCCAGTATTCCTTTATCCTCTAGATATGTTTTTCTTCATGATTGAGTCACCCGCCTTGTTTATGACTAGCGTTACAAACCGTCACATAACAAGATCGGCCTTTTTACTAGTGAGCAAGCCATTCCCAAATAAATCTTGAATCGGTTTCATCAGCTACTCTGATGTAACCAAGTTGAGGCCGTCTTCATTGAAATCTGTTTGGTCGACGTCACCTATTACCCTAATGTGTTGGAATGCATCCCACTGGTCACCTGACGCATCCTCTATTTTGTCCCAGAGCCCCAAAAATGAGACTTTGTTGGTTGCTCATCATCTAAGATATTCATTCGTGTATAGCGGTTTAACTGACACCTTTGTAGAATTCATCATTTTCCAACAGTTCGTAGCCTATGCTAGTTTTGTCCAGGGAATTATGCCAGCAACCACTCGTTCCCTGCATATTGAACTATTAAAGCTCGCGCTCCATGTTTAGGCCAACTTCAGGCTACTTACAGCAAATCCATCAAAGGTCATCCACTAGGGATGTGTTTACATTATTACCTGTTGTTGTCCGTTCTTGGAATGTGTCGTTTTTTGGTATATCAGCTTTTTTCATCTTCTTAAAGTAGCCGTTCTTTTAGCTACTCCTGTTATCTCGGCCCGTACTGACGACGTTAAAAATTCACCATCTGTTGAAGAATAAAACTTAACTGTAGTTGTTGACCTTGTATGGTAAGAAGTTCTCTCAAAAAACAGCGTCAACAACCACGCACTGAGGTAGTTCGCTCTTTTTTGGAAGTGGATTACGGAAACCGAACAGCGGTTTAAGGTTGACAGAATATATTGCGTGATCACTTTACTGAGGCGGTCTTCTTAAAAGATTAATGAATACTCGCGTTAGTCGTGCTTTTTTCCGTGTACGCATAACATGAAACAGCCTGCAAATTGTGCACGAAAATCCTCCGTTTTTCAGTTTTTGGTAAAGCCTGTTGCAAAATTCGTAGACACGAGTTCAGTGGATTTTCAGCTCTCACGGATAAGCCGGCTTTGATTTCGATTACACCGGCTTCCATGTCAGTTTGTTCCCCCTAAACCGGCCACCTCGCCCCGGTTCCGTGAACATGACCTTTGAATTCAGAGGGTCACATTAACCCCTCTCCCCAAAAATGGTAATGGAACTATCTTAGAATTTCGATCTTACTACTGCCCACCAGGGGATACTATCTTTCAGAATTCAGAATTGGCATAGACATCCACCTGCTCCGCTATGGCGAACCAGGATGACTGAAAGCTATGTTTAGCTCTACGGGTTTCTAACACTGCCTCGTAAGCATAACGAGTGTGATACGGCAAGTCATGAGATGTCGCATACAGCGTGGACGCAATGGCTATTTTTCCAGTTAATCCTGAGGATACTTCGAAGACTGTAAGCTCAATTTCTCGATGGGAACTCTGTTACGGGATAAGGCGCTCCTACTCCTCAAAGACGAAGTGGAGACCGTTGAGCTCACTCGAAAGGACGTCAACAGATACTACTGAGCTAACGTAAGACCGTTTTGCCTATTAGTGTGACGGTAATACTATTGTCGAAAATTAACGAAGTCACAGAGCTTTTCACTTGCTGTTTCCCAAAGACACTTTCGGACATCATGTGCGCCTCGAGTGGCATGCCAGATTCCGTTCAATCGTGCTCTGGCACGAACTACTAAGTGAACTTTCAGACGGACCATCATCTCTAGGGGAAATGCAAATCTACCAGTTTGACAGTGAAAGCGTGGAGGAAAACGCAAAAAGGTGAACTATTTAGTTTGGTTTCATTTAGCCAACTGCTCAAACGAGGTGAAAGATAACCAATTCTCCGATTGGTTGATGGCGGTCGAACACAACAGTGTGACAAGTGACCACCAGGCGAACACTGGTTTGTCATGGAAGTGTTATTTACCATTTTACTGTTTACGAATTGAAAAGTCTGCAGAAGGTAGAACGGAGAGGTAAAATAGCGAATGGCCAACAACAATAGAACGATTATAGGGAGAATGGAAACGTGGCAGATTACCTGTCTCAACTAATGAGGCCCCTCGAACAAGTTTGGCATGAATCTTTAGTGGTATTCTGTTTCTGTTGCCCATTGTGCTACAACTGTATTTCACATCTAGAAGACGGTGGAATTCGAAAAAATACAACAGATTGTCTTTAGTATTAGGAGGGTGGATTAAAAGCCATTCGGCTATCACATGAAATTGGATGGTTGGTCTATCTTCCCGAAAAGGGACCTCCCTACCCCAGAGGCAACCACTGTGACCAGGACCCAGTATGTGTGAAGTTTTTTCCGCAACAAACAGAACTTGATCCAATATGTTGTTGTTATCAAATCCGATGCAACAAATTAGGACAGAAAATCGCGCACTCGCGGCTGGGCTGTGTGGCTCCCAAACGAGTACTGACTCTGTTTGCAGTATATGAAATATGAAACGCAGAATGACGTTAACGTCATCAGCTAGATAGTTTCGTCACGGTGAATTACAGTCGTTCCAAACACCGATCAAATCTTGAAAGTGGTCAAAAGATCCATTAGAGTTTCATTCTCTCATATAATAAATGATGGCCTGGAAATAAAGTTAGTCGAAAGAGATATAGCATCTGCGCCTTGTCATCCGGAATAAGTTGGCCGATCGGATCAAATCGTCTCACTAGTGCTACCAAAATATCTCTTGTCTTTCAGCACATTCGTCTGTCCAACCGAAATCATTTCGTTCAGCGACCGAGTGGATGAATTCAAGGATCGCAACTGCCAGGTTATTGCCTGCTCTACAGATTCGAAGTATTCTCATTTGGCCTGGACTCAGGTTGAACGTAAAAAGGGTGGACTGGGGCCAATGCAAATTCCTCTGCTAGCCGATTCGTCGAAGGCCATTGCACGTGCATATGGTGTACTGGATGAAGTGCAAGGCGACACATTTCGGTGAGTAAAGTTAAGAAATTCGAGTCCCCAAAAATTATACATGACGACGTTCGACAGTCACAGGATGTGCTGAGACCGAACGAACTTAGCCATGAATCTGCAAAATTGACTGCAAAATTTTGATGCGTCCATGCCAGACAGGGAATATTCGTTCATTCATTCTTAATTTGCAGTGCACCAGAGGATTATTGAGCTATGCGAAACAAAACCCTTAGGGAGGAATAAATCGCGACCATTAGAGGCAGGTGCTTATATTGAGTAAAACTACAGTTGCGAGATTCTCACAAATAACACCGTTTCGGAATATCCCAAGTCGACGATAATCATTTCGCGTGAGTGTAATTGAATAACCAATATTCGTTAGAACTCTGTTTGCTAGTTTGCACGATCAAGTAACGTGCTGCGGTGAATCAGTTTCCCAAAAGTTACAGGATTATACTACTAATTCAATGACTTCACTATCCAATTGAGTGCAACAGTCAGAAATGGGTTGGCTGTTCTTGTTATATTAGGCTGGTCATATGTTAACCAATTTAGATATATGTATACCAAGGCAAAGTTGTGTTCAATATAGGGCGGACTATGGCTGCTCAAAGAATGTAACCGAAAAGTTGTATGAGGTTATAGAAGCGAGAGACCTGATGGTGAAGATATTGACAACTAGAAAAACACGCTTGACTAGTCTGACAAAAAGATCCGAAACACAATGTACCATCTAGAGTGGGTCGCTCATATAAACTCGGTGGTTGAATTTCACAAAACCGGTTGCCTTCTTGGCCTCTCCAGAAGTGGGCACAGTGGTTTTCACAAACACGTTATGCTGTAGTAGTTTCATCCCATTATAAATCTCCACAGGAGATCAAAGAAACTGAAGTATGCGTAGGCAATCAATCAGTCAGTCACAGGTCCAACAGTGAAGTTAACGCGCAACTAGGCAGCGTCGTGTCATTCACATTATCACTCGAGTTATAAAATAAATGTAAAGGCTTTGCTTGGTCAGTGGCGGGATGTTCCATAGCTACCACGGTGATTTGCTTGGACGGGACATTCTGGACTCCTGTTTAGAAGAAAATATATCTCTTAGGAAGTCTAGTTCCACCCAGGTCATAAATAACACAGCAGTGCTATCCATGGAGCTTATGTGTGCAAGTTTGCCGAGTGAATCACATCTCACGCCGCCTCCAAAACGTCATTCATCTGGCGATCAACCTGGCTCGCACGTCACATGGACAACTGAGAATACCAGCAACTCACTTATCTCTGTTTCTAAAGTGGATGTGAGAGTAGCGTGACCTAATTTAAACTGCAACTGGCGGTGTTATCATCGACGGGAAAAGAGAAAATGTAGCTTGTGAAGCTGTTGCATATGATAACTCCACCCATGTTATAGTTTACGCATAATCACTTGCAGAGGTCCCAATGAAACCTAAAGAACCATCGTAAACCTATAAGACAACGATTAGGCTACATGGTAAGGGATCAGGGTATCTTTATATATTTGTTGCCCAGTCAAATCTCATTTGTTATCTGGTAATAGTTTTTTTTAACCGCTGCGAAGACTTCATTTATTCTCATTGTACGTCAACATCACCACTGTCAAAAGCAGCAGCAACAGCATTTGGGCTGTATAATATTCTCGTTAGTTTTATTCACACCAGCAACGATAACCATGGACGTTGTCTGCCCAGGACTTCATTCATATACACTACTTCGCAAGAAATATTTTGTAAGACGTAACACACTACTCACAAGGATGCTGGAAACTATTTGACAGCCCATGATGGGCTCTGCCTTCTTGAAGGTCATAGTGTAGGCGCAATATTATCTTCAGCATAGTCGTACCTAGGTCAAAACTCGTAGTACCGAAACTCTGATGTCAATTACCTCTTACCTATTTCATCAACATGTATATCAATCAGGATGACAGTTGCAGCAACGGTACCACAAGGTAACCAAGAAGCCTCAAGAGGTCAATTTTCGAACGACAGAATGAGGGACTGATAAAACAGTCGAACCATAATGATTGGAGGGAATACCGGCTGGAGAGCGAGGAAAACCAAAACGGTCCACAGAGACTTTGAATATAGGCAACAGCAGTGTTAGATAGAGAACCATCAAATGCCGTCAAATGTACGGGCTGCACTCACACATATCTGTGGGTCTGTGGCTAAATCTATACCCAGTGGATTATGGACGAACCATCAATAGTGCTCTATTACAGCTAATCCACTCGGTTCAATAGTAACCAAATTTTCGTAAGGTCAGGCAAACAATTAAAAGTTTCCCATTGATCATAGTATCTTTTACATTTTAGCGGTTTGTTCATTATTGATGGGAAAGGCATTCTGCGACAAATAATGATAAACGATCGAACGGTCGGTCGTTCTATTGACGAAGCCTTACGCCTGTTGGATGCCTACCAGTTTGTGGAGAAACACGGAGAAGTCTGCCCGGCAAACTGGAAAGCGGGTAAGAAGACGATCAGACCGAGCCCAACTGAAAGTCAAGAATTCTTCGATGCTAACCACTAGTTGAGCAGAACACATGAGAATATTTGCCGATCAGATTTTCCAACCCTAGTAGTTCATAAGTGAATGTACCCGACTTGCAATAAAATGATCGAGTGCACAAATAATCCTTTTGGTGTACACCATGGTGCCAAAATAACCGAACTAGAAAAACGGACCGCGCCTCTTGTGCATTCTAGATTGCTTCCGATTCCTTAGACAATGTAAAACCGTTCTGTCGGTCTTTTGTCTCTAGATTAGCCCGGGTAGCAGTGTCCGATTTTGAAAAATCGATAGTCCCAGTTTCGTCCAAACAAGACTGAACGGTTACATACCATTATTTTGCAACGTTAAAAGCCTATAGGGCAAGTTCTTATCAGTTTGCTCTACACGGCAACGACCGTGTACGACCGAAAACCGAAAAAAGGACAACTGAGTGACAACTGTTTCCAAAAGCCATCTGCTGGAGTAGATAGCGAAAGATGTCTCACACAGATGGCAACTGACGGCAAAGGGATATGAAAAACTACAGGAGAATCTCACTACTCAATCTCCACGGAGAGTCATGCACCCTATCTGCGGAATGGTGAAAGAGCATGGTGGAGAAGGGATACTGGAGAAGACAGCTCCTATTCAGATTAGAACAGTGGTCACTCTTTAAGGAGTCTCCCTCCTGAGGAAATCTACTGTCGGCTGAAAACTCTGATCGTGTTGAGGCTACAGAACGTTGCCTAACCGGGAGGGTGCGAAGCCTTAAGTAATTCGAGAATTAGATTAAGGGAGCCCCAACGGGTAAAAATGCGGGTAGTTCAGTCACACCTAGGAGTTCCAGTGGTGTCATTCCCTGTAAACTTGAAGGTTGTTTTGAAAACCAGCTTTCGGGAACAGCAACGCAAACATGTTCGCGAATCGGTGAGTGCATAGAAGCTCAGATCAATTGACGCATGATACCGTAATCACTATGCCTTGGTAGAATCAAGTCAAATAAAAAATCAGGAGTTTTCAGACGAAATATATTTTCGAAAGAATCTGGTAGCATAGGGAGAGGTTTCATCATCTATATGAACTGGAAGCAACGAGGACAAGATTTTCCGGAGTCACGTCGACCGTCGTATACGTGCACATAGCAGCTTCTGGGAACTTCAGTTCGTTTTTGATGAAACACAGTCGGCCCCAGTTTATCAGCCGTTTGCAAGTGTGACCGATGGAAATTCTTTCTTCATTGGTCAAGCTGAGGCGAGGAGAAACGAAACAAAAAAACAAGAGCCGGTAGGGAAACGAAGCGTTTTAGAATATTCATACCGTATTTAGAATATACCTGTGCCGTGACATCTAGCTGGGCGGATTCTTAGTGGATAATAGACGTCAAAAACACAGTTTTTAAAGCTTGCGTCACCGTGGATGACCTTGACTTGCAGAGCGAAAAAACCAAAACCCATCCAGATAAACAGATTACTAAAATAGACTCAAATTAGACCATGTGTAAACCACAAACAAGAGTGGCCACCGCAGCCTGTGTCCCCGACTGAAGCTGTGATGATCAAGAGATAGAAAAAACAAGAAGAACCACCTTTTCGACCAGATATGGAATCCTCGACAGCCCACACATTCGGCGGGCCATTTGAACGCCTATGAGTTTGCGTATAAAAATCTGGGTAAGGTACACGCATTCGGCATCAAGCGCCACACGAGACTATAGTCACTAAGCAGATGATCGAATGACACACCGATTGAGCCAGTATCAGAATCAAACTCCGGCTAATCCAGATCAAAACTCACCCGGCAAGCTCATACAAGTCAGATGTATTTGGCTGTTTCGAATGTCCATCATCGTCTTCTGGATTGGTGGACTGCCGACAACGTTTAAATCCACATGTGGCCCAGCTGGAGAGGCGCGCCGCAATGGCAAACTCTCGCGCAGTCAGACCGGCCTCATTTTCCAGCCACATTCGACCAACGGTTTCCTCCCACGAACATTGATGATGACAACAAACAGCAAATAATGCACCACCGATACTAAAATGGGGGAGCAAATAATAAAATGACGCAATTCGGGCGAGAGAAATCAACCGTATCATGCGCAGCAATTCTGCATTCAACTGCATTCACCCTACAACTTTGAAACTTTTGATGAATAAAATGTCCCTGAACGAAAAATACGAACAAATGTACGTAGTAATCATCGCCCTTATCGACAACACAATATCAGTGTTCACTACTGATGTTTCCTTGTAGAACAACTATAATTTATTTAAAAGCCTTATAGTGAATAAAAGAATAAAAAGGGGTGGGAAAGGAGCCTGACGCTAGCACCTCCGTACACTCATTCAGAGCAGCTGGATAGAAAGTGATAAAAAGAATACGAAGGACAGCGATTAGCAACCGTATTTTGCAGGGCCTCCAACCATCTAAAGGGGGTATCACGCGGACTCTTTGTGAAAGCTGACTTGCACCTCTAACAGCCGGAAATTTCAAAATCGCTTTCTTACCACTCTGTCAGGTCAAAGATTGACCACCCCTCTGCTTGCGTCATTCTGAATTGGACAAGGAAAACAGTATTCTTTCCGGTAGTTGATGACTCAGCATTTACAATACATGATCAGACAACTGCACTTTTTGGTGCTACAAATCCTTTGATCGAAGTCCATGTTACACAAATGAACACTCTTCTACCAAGAATCACGCCGGGAACTCGCGGGCATCAGCCTAAACGAGTTGTGGTCCTGAAACAAAGGGGGTTAAAGACCTGGAGAAGCCGCAGTTCCTATGCTCGTAGAGCATCTCATCTCACTGTCATACAACAAAACGGTTCGTACCTGATTCACACGTCACTTGAGATTTCTGTATGTGCAGCTTTGCCAATATAGGTGCCACAAATCGGCAAACACAATCAAATCCTTAGAGATTCGTTCATTGATTTCATCTGTCAATCGGAACTAATGCGAATTCCACGGTAAGTACAACGCTCTACAGACTCGAATGCCTCGGCCTGGATTGCAAGTAGCGTCTTCCGTGACTGCATGTCCACGAGCATGACCTTAAAATTGGTGGGTGAAAATCGCATGCCAAAGGAAGGGATGAGCCTGTTCAGTTCATCCATAAATATCTATGCCTGTCCCTTCTCTTCGAAGAAAAGAATGATGCTGCCTGTATATACCAGATCGATAAAGTTGGTAAGCAGCCACTTGAACAGTGGAAATTTGAACCCTCTATAACGGTCATATTATCTCGTCGATCACAAAATTACATAGAACGGAGAGAGTGGAGGTTGCTTCCAGACACCAAATTTTGTGCAGAAGCCTGTGTGGGGCGACCCGTATACTCACGTGCGTAAGTCTGAGAACACGAAGAACTTATCCTATTCACAAACCTCCGGGGTATTCCTTGCTGAGAAGACGTATTCAGGAGAACGGACATACCAACAGAATCAAATGCACCTTGAAAATATAGAAACACTAGAAATGTGGGTCATTCATAGGTATGGCGTTATCCTGGTAACTGACGGTGTGGGGAGGCAACCCCTACCGGGCCAGAATCTTGTTTGATGCTCTCAAGTCACCATAAAGGCCACCATAAAGGCGACGAAAGACAAGCGACGTCAAGATTTTCTCTACTGTTGGAGTAAAGCTGATCCTTCTGTGGTTACCGAACTCAAAACGAGCCCTGTTTTTGAAAGTGGGCGCTAGAAGCGGTTCTCTTCATTCATCTGGGACACTCTCCTTTTCCAAAATATATGCAGATAGATCAAACAAACGCTGACTGAGGACTTCTCTTCTATCCTTGAACAATACGGATGGTAGGTCACCCGGATCAGGAGCTCAAAAGCGCTGGGAGATGGGCAGTTATAAATCTCCGAGGGCATAGGTGGCTCCTGGAGGGTGGTAACCTTCAGAATTCCGGCATAGTTCAATAGTCCGACTGAGTAGCATCAGGTGGTCGCGAGAAGTGTGTCCAAAGAAACTCGACCCAGCGGGTCCGCTAATCAACTCTAGTGAAGACCACCATGT